CAGCCTGCCTCAGCCTCAGCCTCAGCCTCAGCCTCAGCCTCAGCCTCAGCAGCCTCAGCCTCAGCCTCAGCCTGCCTCAGCATCAGCCTGCCTCAGCCTCAGCCTCAGCCTGCCTCAGCCTCAGCCTCAGCCTGCTTCAGCCTCAGCCTCAGTCTGCCTTCAGCCTCAGCCTCAGCCTCAGCCTGCCAGCCTCAGCCTGCATCAGCCTCAGCCTCAGCCTTGCCTCAGCATCAGCCTGCAGCCTCAGCCTCAGACTGCCTCAGTCAGCCTCAGCCTGCTTCAGCCTCAGCCTCAGTCTGGCCTTCAGCCTCGGCCTCAGCCTCAGCCTGCCTCAGCCTCAGCCTGCCTCAGCCTCAGCATCAGCCTGCCTCAGCATTCAAAATGTGGCCCGGGAATGGAGTTCTGGGAACTCGAAGAACACGAAGTGGCCTACGGTTGGCTCCGGGCATTCAGAATCATGCCCAGGAATGGAGTTCTGGGAACTCGAAGACCACGAAGGGCCTACAGTTGGCTCCAGGCATTCAAAATCATGCCCAGGAATGGAGTTCTGGGAACTCGAAGACCACGAAGTGGCCTAGAGTTGGCTCCGGGCATTCAAAATCATGCCCAGGAATGGAGTTCTGGGGACTCGAAGAACACGAAGTGGCCTACAGTTGGCTCCGGGCATTCAAAATCATGCCCAGGAATGGAGTTCTGGGAACTCGAAGACCACGACGTGCGTTACTGTTGGCTGAAAAAGGAGTCCCCGGGTCCCTGTCCGGATTCCCCGGGATCTCTGTCCCGATCCCGCCCAGACCCTTCTGGGGAGTCATGATGCTTTCTTTTGACACCACTAGAAACCTATCAGTCTTCGCTGTTAGGTAAATTAGCTTGGCGAAGGACCCAACCATATGCAGTTGTGAATGCCGCAATTGTGCTGGGTGGTGGCGGACGCATGCGGGCGGTGCCACTGGGACCTTCGGTGGAGCTCCCTATGGGGCCACGAAACGCTGTACTGGGTGGGTGAGACGCGGTCAGCAAGGGCTGTGCTGCGTGGTGGCGGACGCATGCGAGCGGTGCCACTGGGACCTTCGGTGGAGCTCCCTATGGGGCCACGAAACGCTGTACTGGGTGGGTGAAACGCAGGCAGGGAGCAAGGGCTGCGCAGGGTGGTGGCGGACGCATGCGGGCGGTGCCGCTGGGACCTTTGGTGGAGCTCCCTATAGGGCTACGAAGCGCTGTTCTGGGTGGGTGAAGCGCAGGGAACAAGGGCTGTGCTGGGTGGTGGCGGACGCAAGCGGGCAGTGCCACTGGGACCTTTGGTGGAGCCCCCTATGGGGCCACGAAACGTGCGAGGGGTGTGCCAGAATGGGGTGTGGAACCGCATGCCAGCGCAGCCACTGGGGCCTTCGGTGGAGCTCCCTATGGAGCCACGAAACGTGTGAAGGGCGTGCCGAAAAATGGGGGGTGGAACCGCAGGCGAGCGCAGCCACTGGGGCCTTCGGTGGAGCTCCCTATGGGGCCACGAACGTGTGAGGGGTGTGCCAGAATGGGGGGTGGAACCGCATGCGGGCGCAGCCACTGGGGCCTTCGGTGGAGCTCCCTATGGGGCCACGAAACGTGTGAGGGGTGTGCCAGAATGGGGGGTGGAACCGCATGCGGGCGCAGCCACTGGGGCCTTCGGTGGAGCTCCCTATGGGGCCACGAAACGTGTGAGGGGTGTGCCAGAATGGGGGTGGAACCGCATGCGGGCGCAGCCACTGGGGCCTTCGGTGGAGCTCCCTATGGGGCCACGAAACGTGTGAGGGGTGTGCCAGAATGGGGGGTGGAACCGCATGCGGGCGCAGCCACTGGGGCCTTCGGTGGAGCTCCCTATGGGGCCACGAAACGTGTGAGGGGTGTGCCAGAACGGGGGGTGGAACCGCATGCGGGCGCAGCCACTGGGGCCTTCGGTGGAGCTCCCTATGGGGCCACGAAACGTGTGAGGGGTGTGCCAGAATGGGGGGTGGAACCGCATGCGGGCGCAGCCACTGGGGCCTTCGGTGGAGCTCCCTATGGGGCCACGAAACGTGTGAGGGGTGTGCCAGAATGGGGGGTGGAACCGCATGCGGGCGCAGCCACTGGGGCCTTCGGTGGAGCTCCCTATGGGGCCACGAAACGTGTGAGGGGTGTGCCAGAATGGGGGGTGGAACCGCATGCGGGCGCAGCCACTGGGGCCTTCGGTGGAGCTCCCTATGGGGCCACGAAACGTGTGAGGGGTGTGCCAGAATGGGGGGTGGAACCGCATGCGGGCGCAGCCACTGGGGCCTTCGGTGGAGCCTTCGGTGGAGCTCCCTATGGGGCCACGAAACGTGTGAGGGGTGTGCCAGAATGGGGGGTGGAACCGCATGCGGGCGCAGCCACTGGGGCCTTCGGTGGAGCTCCCTATGGGGCCACGAAACGTGTGAGGGGTGTGCCAGAATGGGGGGTGGAACCGCATGCGGGCGCAGCCACTGGGGCCTTCGGTGGAGCTCCCTATGGGGCCACGAAACGTGTGAGGGGTGTGCCAGAATGGGTGTGGGAGGGGGAGGAGGGGGGAGGAAGGGGAGGAGGAGGAAGGAGGAGGAGGAGGAAGGAACGCGGGGCGACGTCTCTTCAAAACGAGGACCCAACACCACAGGATGGTTGGGAAAAAACACGGATTCGGAGGATGGCTGAAGACCTGGAGAAAGACGAAAAGGAGAAATGGGAGGAGAAGTGGGATGGTGAGTATAAGAAAACCGTTGGGGGCCCAAACGGAGGTATCCAGAGGTCCCCAAAAGGCCCCGAAATAATTTAGCCAGGCGAAGGATCCAACCATATGCAGTTGTGAATACCGCAATTATGAACATAATCTTCGCCAGCGCTCCCTATGGGGCCACGAACCGTGTGAGGGGCGTGCCGACATGCGTGGCGGGGCACACAACGCGAGCGAAGACGATAGGTCTGTGTGCGAGAGACTGAGAGCGAGTGAGTCTGATTGTGGATGAGTCTGCGCGCGCGTGAGTCTACGTGCATAAATGTCGACGCCCATGTCGGCACGCCTCTCACGAGGATCGCGCCCGCTTCCTTCCCGTTTTTCTTTTCCCTCTTTGCCCGTGCACGCCCGCGTCCAAGGCTGCGGGCGCGGCGTCGCACGGAGTCCCCGCGACGCGCGCCGGACGCCCCGAAGGGGTCCCAGCGACGCGCGCGGGTCGTCCGCTGCGCGGAGCAGAGAACGAGCAGGCTGGCTCCCGCCCGGGATGCGCGGCCCGAGAGCGGCTTGAACACGTCGAATACGACGAAAAACTTCCGAAAACCAAGAGTCGCCGCCATGCGAACTCCGCCACTGGGCCGCCATGCGAGTTCCGCCACGGAGACTTTAAGTGGAGTTCCTTGTGGGGACACTAAACGCTGTGATGAGTGGTAGATGACGCACGCGGGCGGTCCCACTGGGGCCTTCGGTGGAGTCCCCTATTGGGCCACGAAACGCTGTACTGGGTGGTGGATGACGCATACGGGCGGTCCCACTGGAGTTTTCGGTGGAGCTCTTTATGGGGCCACGAAATGCTGTGCTGGGTGGTGGATGACGCATGCGGGCGGTCCCACTGGGGCCTTCGGTGGAGCTCCCCATAGGGTCACGAAATGTTGTTTCGGGCGGTGGATGACGCATGCGGGCGGTCCCAGTGAAGCATTCGGTGGAGCTCCACATGGGGCCACGAAATGCTGCACTGGGTGGTGGATGACGCATGCGGGCGGTCCCATTGGGGCCTTCGGTGGAGCTCCCTATGGGGCCACGAAACGTTGCAACGGGTGGTGGATGACGCATGCGAGCGGTCCCACCGGGGCCTTCGGTGGAGCTCCCTATGGGGCCACGAAACGCTGTACTGGCTGGTGGATGACCCACGCGGGCGGTCCCATTGTGGCCTTCGGTGGAGCCCCCTATAGGGCCACGGAACGTTGCATTGGGTGGTGGATGACGCATGCGGGCGGTCCCACTGGGGCCTTTGGTGGAGCCTTCTATGGGGCCACGAAACGCTGTACTGGGTGGTGGATGACGCATGCGGGCGGTCCCACTGGAGCCTTCGGTGAAGCTCCCTATGGAGCCACGAAATGCTATGGTGGGTGGTGGATGACGCACGCGGGCGGTCCCAGTGGGGCTTTCGATGGAGCTCCCTATGGGGCCACGAAACGCTGTATTGGGTGGTGGATGACGCATGCGGGCGGTCCCACTGGGGCCTTCGGTGGAGTCCCCTGTTGGGCCACGAAACGTTGTACTGGGTGGTGGATGACGCATGCGGGCGGTCCCACTGGAGCCTTCGGTGGAGCTCCCTATGGGGCCACGAAATGCTGTGCTGGGTGGTGGATGACGCATGCGGGCGGTCCCACTGGAGCCTTCGGTGGAACTCCCCATGGGGCCAAGAAGCGCTGTACTGGGTGGGTGAAAGCGAAGGAGGAAGCGGGAGGGGGAGGAGGAGGAGAGAGGAAAGAGGAAGGAAGAAAGGAAGGAAGGAACGCGGGGACCGTCTCTTCAAAACGAAGACCCAACACCACAGGATGGTTGGGAACCAAATCCTACGTAGTTGTTTTACTACTCCTCCATCATCATCCCTAGGGTGACCAGAGTGTAAAGAGAAGTCAGAGAGCACGTGATTCAGCTTTGAGTTGTCGAGTGTTGTCGGAGAGTTCCGCCTAAGTGGCCGCATCATCATGCTCAATTCGGCGCACCGCCAGAGGCAGATCGAGGCGATCGAGCTGAAGACGTTCATCCGACTGACAGGCCTCCAGCCGGCAGCGGAGCCAAGAGCGCGGGTGAAGTCGTGGATCAGAGAGGCAGAGAGGCTGAGGCAGACGCGAGGCAAGGCGGAGGCGGACCAGAGGATCGCAGAGATGGGCACCATCGCGGTGGCGCGCTTCGCGGGCATCTACGAGGGCTTGGTGGCAGAGGGAGCGACGGCCGGCAGGTTCAGCGCAAGCAAGCTGCAAAACCTCGGCAAGGAGGTGAGAAGTTTATAGCGGCCGAGATGGGCGACGCGGTGCCGATGACCAGAATCAGCGATTGCCACGAGAAGGGCAAGGCGAAATTCATCGTGGCCTTCAGCGCGCGCCTGAACATGGCGGCGGTGCTGGAGGCACTGATTCAGGCGGGAGCGGAGCACCAGCAGGGGATGGCGCCGATGTCACACGTGGAGCGAGTCGTGTACACTCAGCTGCAGGAGTTAGACGGCCTCATGAAGTACGTACTAAGCGAGCCTCCAGCGGAAAAGGGAAGAAGGATGGAGCTAGCAGTGAGACGGCTCTGTCTTGCTGACGTTACACCCGATGCCCGAGCCTACCCCCTCTTCTGTCTCCCTGCTTCCGGAGAGTCACCCCTCTCCCTCTCTCCAACCCCCACAGAAGTACATTTGGGGTCAGATGGAGGGAGGAGGGCCCAGAGGCAAGCGTCCTTCGAGCGCTGGTCCCAGAGGCAGCCGTACATGTCCCGGCAGCTGTACTCCTGGGACCCCATAGCCTCAGCAGACTCGCAAACCTCGGGAGACCACTATGCCAGTAGTGGTTGACAGGGCAGGTGGACAGTGGAGCCCCACAGCTCTCGCACCGTTTCTTTCCTGACGAGCGAGGGAGTGGGCAGGTGGAGGGTGGAGCCCCAACAGACCTCGCAGGTTTTCTCCTCACGGTGTAGCTCTTCCGATACGTGCACATTTCTTCCACTTTCGGGCGCACCGCGGCAGCCGAGACGCCCCTCTGCATGAGGCGAGCCGCAAGGGCGCAAGAGCCACGCAGCGCACACTGACTCTCGGGCGTAGCCCGGTCCTAGGGGCAGTCGCTAGATGGGAGGACCCTTGCAGTCCCCATGTGCTCTGATCTGATCATCATCATCACATCATCTTCATATTATCATCATCATATCCACTACCACCACCACCACCACCACCACCTTCGGTACTACCAGTACTACCAGCACCGTCATCATGGGGTCTCATGCTCCTCCTCGCCTCTTTCTATGTTGTCAGACACATCGTCGATCACGGTCCTGATCACCCTCACCACCATCATCACAATAAGATTCTTGACCAGCATCACCGTCATCACCACCAGCACCACCATCATCATCAGCAGCAGCATCATCAGCATCATCATCACTATCATCATCACCAACATCACCCCTGAGGAGGAAGAGCAGCAGCAACGGGGGAGGCCGACGAGCGGCAGGCAAGGCTGCTGCTCGTCCCCGCTGCACGATAGCCGGCCAGGAGCTGGACCAACGGCGGGGCGGCTCGGGGGAGGCACGGGTCATTGTGCACAACGGGGCCGACCTCCACCCTTCTGTCGCTTCCTCCTGCTCCTCCTTCCCCCCTGCCCCAGTCCCGCCTCCCCTCTCTCCCGCTCCTCGTTTGGGAGCAGCTCCTCATGCTCCTCACTCGTTCTTCTGAATTTCAGTCAGGAGCGTGGTTTAGCGACGGGTCCCGGTTCTGTGCAGAATCAGCGCGCTCCGTCGCCAGAGCAGGTGGTTTCGTTCTCGTGTTCCGCGGGGCTTTCCCTGATCCGTAGGTCTGGCGCCCACGCGCCAGATCCACAGGTCCGTAATCCATGTCAGCGTGCGCCCAACCTTTTCCCCTCCACTTTCCTCCTCATTCTCCCTCCCTCCCCACTTATGCCTCACGCCTCCTCCCTGCTCCCTCCGCCCCCCCCCCCGCCCCCGGGCAACAGAGGGGCAGCTGGGCCACGGTCCCGCGCTTCCCCGTTCCTGCAGAACCCGCGGGGGGAGGAGCGGGGAGGGAGAAAGGGGACCAGGGCCACGGAAGAGGAACGGGACTACGAGCAGGAATTTTGGCTTAGCGTGTCGCGCGACCGGTTCTGGCCCACCCCGTTTCGGTGTGACACACTGACCACGTCCCAGTCCTTGACGTTCATGTCCAGAGCCTTTCCAAGCCTCCCGCCCCGCGGTGCGGAGCGACACGCTATCCGTTTGCAAGGCGAAGCGTGTCGCCAGGGGCCGCCGCCGCGACACATTGAGCAAAAGTTCCTTACCTCAGGCATTGGAGCATGCCTAGAGGGAAGCCAAGCCAGACCAGGAAGGAGGACCAGGGAAGGAGAAAGAGGAACAGGGTTAGGAATTGGGTCAGGCAGGCGGAGGGAGGAGGGGGAAGGGAGGAGGGCGGAGGGCGGAGGGTGGAGGGCGGAGCGAGGGAGGGAGGGCGGGCGGGAGGGCGGGAGGGCGGGAGGGCGGGAGGGCGGGAGGGCGGGAGGGAGGGAGGGAGGAGGAGGAGGAGGAGGAGGAGGACCAGCGGTGGAAAGGTCGACCGCCAGCTTGGGGGACCCTGGCACCAGCCCACACCGAGCCGAAGCAGAGCACGGGGCATGTGTCTGGCATGGCCCAGTAGCGAAAGCGAGGGCTCACATTCGCAGCGCCCTCGGAGAAAGCGACAACGACGACAGCGAGGGGAAGCCGCAGAAGGGAGGAGCAGAAGGAGAGGCAGCAGCAGCAGAGGCGCAGATCCCCCGATCGGCCGCCAAGAGGTACAGCGGCACCACCTGCGTGTCCGTGCTGGTGGACCAAGGCCCAGCCTCCGACCAGCTGTGACACTTCCGCTCGGGAAGGAGACCCTGAGATCAGGGCGTCGCAGTTTTCTCACACTGGGCGTTTTCGCTCGGCTTCTGGCCCCGGGACTATTACAGATCGATCCGGATCGAAAAATGTTGCAGAGAGATGGGGTCTAGGGCTCTGGGTATGATTCTTCGCGATGTCGCATTTTTCTGCAACGTCGGGTCTGAGGGGAAAGAGGAGGATTGCATTCCGTACGCAGGGAGCGCGGTGCCCAACCAGGGAAGCCGGCCGCTCGCGAACCCGAGAAGTTTTGCGCCCAGCCCAGGAAAACCGTAGTGCCGCAGCCGGGAAGCGGGGTCTGCAGCCGTGAGCGATTGTTTCCTTTTCGTTGCCGCTCGACGAGTACATTACAAGAAAGCTTGTTGGCGCTCCCCATGCGCTAACGCGCAACCAGTACAGTGCGTGTGGGCGCGTGTCCTCTCCCCTGCGCGTGTGGGTGCGTGTCCTCTCCCTTGTGCCCCGTGTCCTCTCCTCCTCTCCCTCCCCGCTGGGCTTCCCTTACCGTCCCTGTCTCCCCGTCCCTCCGTGTGTCGGCCCGGTCTGTCTTTTCCTGTCGTCGCCCCCCCTCCTCCCCTTCCCTCTCCCCTTCTCCCCTCCTCGGCTCCTCGCTCTTCCGCTCTTCCGCACTTCCTTTTCCTGGCCTTCGCCCGGCCCGCAGTTCTGTGTCGGCCCGTCCTTTGGTCCGAACGAGAGTCGCGCGGGCCTGTGCCGCTCCAGTCGCTCGTACTTCTTGCGTTTTTTGCACACCCTGCACGGGCTGTGGTGTGGTGCCGCGTGTGGCAGCGAGTCTTGGGCGTCTAGGCCTGTTCTTCCCTCGAGAGTGGAGAAGTATTCATGTCCGCCCCTACTGCGATGCTATGTGCGAGCAAATTCGAATGTAAGTTGTGCTCGCCCTTCCCTTCCCTGCGTTGACACGTGGTTATTGGTTCCGCCCCTCCCCCCACCCGCCCCGCATTTCCACGCGACGACTGGCCAGTGGAAGTGCATATCTCGTGGAGGGAAATTCCACCTCCGTTCGAGGGAAAGGAAGAGCACACCCCACTGAGGGGAAGCCAGACATCACGGAGAAGGAGTAAGAGGGATCGAGGATGGAGGGTCGAGCAAGGGGATAAGAGACGTCTCTGCACCACGGCGTGACAGGCAGAAGAACGTTTGCGTCGGCCCCATCGGATGGCTCTTTTGTCGTCCTCGGAGTCACAGGAGAGCCAGGGTTAGGAGTAGGAGTCAAGCTCACCAGCTCGAGCGAATCGGCGAGCCCTACAAACCCACATCGCCCTCCCATAAGACAAGAATCACTGCCGACACACACGGACGTTGGGACTGGCATGCACTCGCACCTTGCGGACGAAAGGCGTTCGCGCGCGCGCGCGCACGACTCAGCTTCCGACGACTTGGCGAAGGGGAAGGCGCGCCGCGTCCAAGCGGGGACACTTATTCCAGAGAGAACGCTCTCCACCGCTCTTCCGGTATGCCTGGTTTTCGTCCCGAATCGTTCCCTTGACGGTCAGGGAACGATGCCCACGACGACGGCGCCCGCACCGCCCAGTCCAGCGATTGCTGCACGTCGCCAACGTCGGCGACTCGAGGGCGGTGCTCGGGTGGTCGGCTCAGTCCTCCGCGACTCGCGTGCGGCTCGCGGGCAAATTCATGTCGCACATTTCCACTCCCTCTGATCGGGGAGTCGCTCAAAAAGTCGTGACTACCGGTTTTTCCACGTTGGAGGCCATGTCCTGATTTCCTTTGGTCATTGGATGCCAGATTCTTCTGGTCGCGACCGACGAGATCGGTCGCTACCAATTTCGCTTAAAAATCTGGTATCGGTCGCGACCGAGTTGCTTCAAAATCGGTCGCGACAGATCGGTCGCGACCAGTCGCGACCGAGATTGGAATCGGTGGCGATAGTCGCGACTGACTTGAGAATCCTATCGTTCGCTACCGATCGCGATTAAAAAAGTAGTATCCATGTATTTGGGTCTCAGATCCGAGCGTCTCTCAAAAGGGTAGTGATTGTTGGCTTACCTAAGTTTGCGGTCGCTGGAGGCCACGTCCTGACCCCAGGACCTAGAAACGGTTGGGAATGTCAGACTGGTCCAGGGTCCAGGGGAAGCAGTCGAGATCCCCAGGGACCAGTTTCCCCCTGCTCCTCATTCATATTAAGGTACAAAAGACGGTAACGGATGGAGGTTCCCAGAGGACCATAACGAGCCAAGCAAGCAAAAAAGTGTTGATATTCGATCATCGTGAGGTTCAGGGAGTCCTGCCCGCGGTCCACCTCCTCCTCCTCGCTGTGAGCCGCTCCATTGGGGGCATATCTTGGCTTTCAGCGAGCCCCAGGCCACTGCGTTTGCCGCGTCTTTCGAAGAGTCTTCGGCGGCACTCGACGGCCCTCAACTGCCTTCGAGTGGCAATAGGCACCCTCCTCTCTGTCTCTCTATCTCTCTCTCTCTCTCTCGCTCTTTCTATCTCTCTCTCTCTCTCTCTCTCTCTCTCTTACTCTCCCTTCCTCTCTTGCCCTCTCTTTCTCTCCCTCCTATATGAACGCATGTCAATTGTAGATTGCAGCCTCAGGACACCGAACTCAAGCCGACAAACCAGTAAAACGATACCCCATATCAGTTGATCGGTATATCGGTTGGTCGACCGAACAACATTAAGTCAATGTAGACGTTTCTCGTAACCACACGAGCCCATCCAGAAACGATGCCCAGACGAAATGTCTTGATCAGGGAAGTGGAGGAGCATATAGTGGAAAAAATTGCTTGGGAAGCCGTCATACCCCAAGAGGGGGAGGATGGAGGAGGAATCGGAGGAAGAGGGGCAGGGAGAGGAGGGAGGAGTGAGGAGGAGGAATAGGCGGGTGAGGGCGGGGAGGAGGGCGAGCAGAAAGGCCAGAAGCCTCTTGGATGTATCTTCGGACGTCTCTTGAAGGCGTCTTGGAGTCCTCTTGGAGCGTCTTGGCGGCTCTTTGGCGGTCATGGGGGCCTCTTGGAGCATCTTGGGTGCTTGGGGGGAGCCTCTTGGGACATCTTGGGGATCTCTTGGAGACCTCTCGGGGACCTCTCGGGGGCCTCCTGGGCGCCTCTTGGGGCACTCTTGGAAGCATCGGGGGGCCATATTGGGGCCATCTTGCAGGAGTTCGATCAAAGAAGGAGGGTACCCAGTTAGCGCTCTCTCCCCAGGAGTCCACAATCGGCCCAAAACCGCACGAAGATCAATGAGTTGTGCGTTTTCGATGAAGCCTTTTTGAACATCCCAATGGATCGTGGGGCGCCCTATCCAGGTCCAGGGGGAAGGGGGTAGGGGGAGGGGCAGTCCCTTCCCCGACGGGCAGAAACGGGGTTGGAAGACGAAAATCGGTAAACCACCTCATGCCCAGAGGGCTGGTGGGATCGTATCGGTTGTTTGGTCGATTGTCTCGTGCACCAGAAACCCATTTAAGTCCGCGCCCGCGCCCGCTCGCCCGGTTCTCAGTTCATTAGGCATGTTTCGGTGTATCGGTGTATCGGCGTTGCTTGATTGTTTTGCGATGGTAATGTGTGCATGGTAAATTTTATTGGCGTGTCGGTGTTCAGCGTGCTGACGTCGTCTTCAGGATAGGCTTATTGTTTGATCGGGTTGCGGTCAATCTGTTGCACTACGTAACACCTCAACCCTAACAGCCCCACCGTGACCACCCGAACCGTTACGTTCCAATCCTGACACCCCAACAGCAATACCCGAACCGTAAGAACATCGCTCTGGCACCTTCGCCCGAAAAAAACCTTCAGTAACCCCAGCGGTGTTACCTGAACCCGAATAGTTACCCGAACTTCAACCCTCACGCCCAAACCCTATGCATGCTTAATAACACTAATTCTTGAACTCGAACCGTGCCCCTAGCACCTTCATCCAAACTCCCAGGCACTGACACCCGACGTCCGAGTCCACTAGCACTTAATCTTAACGCCTTACAGAATTAGTCCCGACGTGATACCTCAGCACCTTCATCCGAACACCCCGCCCCTGACACCCTAACCCACGCCTTAACACTCGCTCTAACACCTCAACCCTAACAGCATCACCCTGATGGCCCGAACCGTTACGTCCCAACCCGGACACCTCAACCGCAAGGTTCTAACCCCAACAACCTCAGCCCCAACACCTTTACACTCCTAACCTGAACCCTGATGCCCTAATCCGAACCTTGTAGCCCGAACCCTACACGTTTCGTCGAACATTGATCTTTGAATTCGAACCCCATCTCTGGCACCTTCATTCTAACTCCACGGCCCTGACATCTTTATACGAATCCGAACGTCCCACTTTCCCAACCCCGACGTCCTAACCCTGCGACCTTATGAATAAATCCCTAACCTTAGCACCTTCATCCGATCACCCCGCCACTGTCACCGTAACCCGCGCCCTAACTTCTCAACCCTAATAGCCTCACCCTGACCCCCCGAACCGTTACGTCCCAACCCAGACACCCCAACCGCAAGATTCGAACCTTAATAACCTCAGTCCTAACACCTTAGCCCCAGCATACACACACAGAGACACACGCACACGCTTTGTAAGTCGGCGACGCAGAGGATCTTCAGGCGCGGACGGCAGATGGAAGTGCCAATTGCGATCGAGCGTTGTCGAAAGCACATTGTACAAACCGTGCAAACTGTCAAGTGCAGCGATGGGTGGTGCGAAGGATGAACTGCAAGTCCAAGCGAACCGTGCAGCGGCCAGAAAAACCGAGGAAGCAATTCAATTCAAGGTAAACTGAAGCCCGAGCAGTCTGGTGCGAATTAGCGGCCATTGAATCACCAAAGAGCGCGTTAGACAATAAAGCGTAAGAAAGATTTGAAAGAATTGTACTGCTGCCAGACCAGCCGAAGTGAGTGCAGCAAAAACCCACCATGAACAACCAGCACGACCTGGCGCGAAACAGCCCTAGATGCGGCCACTGAATCACCAGAGCGGTGTGGACGAAAAGCAAACACACACACACACACACTTTTGTGTCGGCGGCTGGGCAGAGGGTGACTGCTCCGGCGATCTGGCATCAGCGGGCGCATTGTATGCAAACACACACGCACACACATTCATGTTTTAGTCAGCGGCGCAGAGAAACCTCAGGCGCGGTCCACAGTTGTAGGTGTGAGTTGCGACCGACCTTAGTCGGAACGCGCAGTGAGGATACGTCCACCACTTCAGTGCAGAAGGGATGGTGAGAAAAGAAAAGAGAGGCACAGTAAATAGCCAATAATGGGTGGTGTAGTGACCCCAACCACGATTGAAGAGAATGGGTGGTGTAGTGATGGGACTGCATACCCAAAAGCGCGCAGCGGCCAGAACCCGAGGAATACGCAGAGCGAAAGCGGTTCAAAGTGAACTGAAGCGCGAGCAGTTTGGTGCAAATTAAGGCCAGGAAAGGCCGACAGATGATGACCCAAAGAGCACGCAGTGGCCAGAAGCCGAGGAGAGCGATAGCTCGACTCAAGGCAGCCTGAAACGTCGGTACAAATTACGACTTGCGAAGCTGCCAGACCAGCCGATTGGTGGGGTCACGCTAAAAGTAATGGCCTGGGGAGACGATAGGTAGGGTCTTCCCTACAAACCAGCGACAAGATAGCATTGGTGGAGTGCTACACCTGCGGCCGCGGCAGCACCACAACAGCGGACCCGACGTTAAGACAGCATAGATTGGTAGTGGCGGAACGCACGACATGTAAGAACACGCACATGCGGAGCCAAAACCAGCCAAAACCGCCATCCCGTAAAATCCTTCGCAGATAGCCAAGCCACCAAGAGAAGCCAGTGTCAACGACAAGTCCAAGCTGACCGAAAACAGATTGAATAGAGGCGCCGACACAAATAGATCGGTTGGGCGCCGTTCGAACAGCATAGTACAGACGCGAGGTGCACTGCACGCACCGACGTCAAGGTCGCCACCCAACGCAACGACCGAAGACGCCCCGTAGAGAAGGAAGAAAAGAGGAGGAAGAGCAAGGGCACAAAGGAGGCGCACCACGCCGGCAAAGACCGCCAGGCGCGAACGCAGAAGCGGGGCAACCTCCCGCGGACCTGGGAGGAGGGGGAGAGGGGGGAGACAGAGGACATAGCAAGCAGGGGCAAAGGCAGGAGGGGAGCCCGGAGAGACGACGGCGGGGGACACCACGATTCGGCCGAGCCCACGTCCGACCGACGACAGCGAAGACCGAGCGAACCCCGCGACCCCCGAGGAGGACGAGGGGACCGACGAACCACCGCGGAGGACAGAGCTGCCGGAAGGCAGCGGGAACGCCACGCCACCTCCGACAGAAAACAGAACGCCACAGGGCCTAAGGCCAGGAGTGGCGAAGCGAGGACGACTGAAACACGGGCGAAGCACGGCGAAATCAGGAGGCGACAGACTTGGCGCACGCCCAGAGCGACTAATCGCCTAATCGCAGAGTGTGGAGGGGGGCAAAGTTGCCACAGACCAGCTCACGCCGCCGCTCGCAGCACGAAGTCGCCCTCGAACGTCCTGTCGGCCTCGCCCGCCCTTCTCTGTGAGATATTGACCGGCCGAAACATAGGTGGGGAACATGGGCGAAACTGAAATGGTGAGTAACAGGGGCACAAG